GTGTCTCTCCCCGTCGACCATGATTGGTGCCGGGGCTGGCTCGTCTCTATGCCAGTCATTGGACGGTCGGTGCGGCTTCAGCAGGCTGCAATCGAAGACCGGGTGGACCTTCCCGAGTGCTTTTGGGAACTTCAGCTTGACAGTCACTGGGTTTATTATCTCGACAATGGGGAAAGGACCCACAAACTTCGGGCTGAGTTTTTTAGATGCTTGATGTGTCTTCAGGTTCTTTGTGGACAGGTACACCTGGTCCCCTACTTTCCACTGCCACTTGGAGAGTCGCTTGCGGTTGGCGTGTTTTTTGTAGTCCGCTTCTGGCTTCCTGCAGCGCCATTCGGACCACCTGACTTGTGGCGTCTATCTGGGTGAACCAAGTGTCCAATGAGCTGATCCGGGATGCCAGTTGGGGTAGCTCAACCATGGCGACGAAGTCTTGCCCAGTTGCCACTTTAAACGGGATGAAGCCGGTGCTTTTGTGGACCGCATTGTTATATGCTACCTCCACAAACGGCGACAGCTCCACCCAGTCGTCTTGCTGGTAGTCCACATAGCACCGTAGGTACTGCTCCAGCCCCCGTTAAGACGTTCCGTGGCCCTGTCCATCTGCGGATGTGCCACCAAGGAGAGGGCTTGCTGAGTGCCCGCTTGCTTCAGGAACTCCCGCCAAAACTGCGCAACGAAGTTCCCCCCCGGTCACTCACGACTCGCCGGGGGGCGCCGTGCAATTGATACACATGCTGTACGAACATCCGCGCCAGCTTCTCCGCGGTGGGGACTCACCGACAAGCCACGAAGTGCACTTGTTTTGAAAACAAGTCCGTCACTACCCAAATAGCCATCTTCCCCTTGCTCTCGGGTAGCTCCACAATAAAGTTCATGGCGATTTCTTGCCAAGGGCTGTCCGGCGTCGCTACAGGCTGGAGGAGACCCTGGGGCTTCCCCTTGCTCCCTTTGGCCGTTGCACAAATCGGGCAGCTCGCTGTGTACGCTCCCACGTCCTTCCGAAGGCTTGGCCACCAGAACTGCCTCCATATTAGGTGGAGGGTTTTCACAAACCCGTAGTGGCCCACATTTTTATTATCATGGGCTCCTTCCATCACCTCCCTTTGGCAATCCCCAGGTACATACAACTTGCCCTCGTGCCACCACAACTCCCCATGTCCCATTAAAGAGTCTTTGTTCTCCGCCACCCAAAGGTCTTGCTCACCGGCTTCTCGGAAAGTTTGCTGGATTCCCGGTTCGGTGTCACTTGCCCGCTTCCTCATTTGGCTGCGCGTTACGGCTTTTGTGACCAGCCGGGTTGCGGGGATGATCGAGTCCACAACCTCCTCCCACTGGCTTGCGTGTTTGGGCATGTGGGACAGTTCATCCGCTAAGAAGTTCTTTTTCCCCGGGACGTGTTTTAGGTTGAAATTAAACCATCCGAAGTATTGGGACCAGCGCGCTTGCTTGGGCGAAAGCTTCCGCAGGGTCCTAAGTGCCTCGAGGTTCTTGTGGTCTGTCCACACCTCGAACGGCTGGCTTGCTCCCTCCAGTAGTTGTCTCCAGGTGGATAGAGCCCACTTTATAGCAAACTCCTCCTCCTCCCACACCATCCACCGCCTTTCCGTCTCGGTGAACTTTCGTGAGGCGTAGGCGCATGGGTGGAGGGCTTCCTCGGGTCCAGGCTGTAGAAGGACTGCTCCCATCACCACGTCAGAGGCATCCACCTGGATTACGAACCACCGGTCTATATCGGGGTGGCGCAGGATGGGCTCTCTGGTGAACCTTCATTTTAGGTCCCCGAACGCCTCTTGACACTCCAGGATCCATGTGAGGGGCATGCTAGCCTTGGGGGTTTTGCCGCTGCCCCGAGTCTTAAGCCTCTTGACACTCCAGGATCCATGTGAGGGGCATGCTAGCCTTGGGGGTTTTGCCGCTGCCCCGAGTCTTAAGCCTCTTGACACTCCAGGATCCATGTGAGGGGCATGCTAGCCTTGGGGGTTTTGCCGCTGCCCCGAGTCTTAAGCCTCTTGACACTCCAGGATCCATGTGAGGGGCATGCTAGCCTTGGGGGTTTTGCCGCTGCCCCGAGTCTTAAGTAAGTCCATTAGTGGCAGCGCGACGAATGAAGTTCAGAATAAATTGCCTGTAGAAGTTAGCGAACCCCAAGAAGCTTTGGAGCTGCCTCCGGGTCCGCGGTGCTTCCCACCCCAGCACATCCTTCACTTTCCCCAAGTCCATCTCAACACCCCTGCTGGATATTCTATACCCAAGGTAGTCCAGTTGCTCTTGATGGAACTCACACTTTGAGAGCTTGGTGTACAGCTGCCCTTTTAACAGTCTTTGAAGCATGGTGTGTACCCGTCTCACGTGCTCGGTCAGGGTCTCAGAATAGATTAGGATGTCGTCCAGGTAGACAAGGACACCCCGGTACAGTAGATCATGCAACACCTTGTTTATTAATTGCATGAACACCCCCGGGGCCCCTTTTAGCCCGAACAGCATCACGCGGAACTGGAAACTTCCAAGTGGGCAATTGAAAGCAGTTTTCCATTCATGCCCCGCGCGTATCCGGACCCTGAAGTACGCCTCTTGCAAGTCCAGTTTTGTGAACACCTTCCCCTTGGACAGGTGGGACAGGAGGTCCTTCATCAGGGGAAGGGGGCAGTGGTATTCGGTACCTATGGCATTCAGCCCCCGGTAGTCCATGCACATCCTTAGTGAGCTGTCCTTTTCCCGGAACAACACCGGGGCTGCCAAGGGGTACTTCACGGGTTGGATGAATCCCCGCTTCAAGTTCTTATCCACAAACTCCCGTAGGGTGCCCATCTCCTTCCCTGACAGGGAGTACATCTTAGGCTCGGAACCTCGTTGCCCTGGCAACCAGGTAAAGAGAACCACCTTGGTCTCCAGGTGCAGCAACTACCACTTTTTAAACCCTCACAAGCCTGGTGACCATCCGGGTCTGGTGGTACCCTGCAGGCAGATGGCCAACACTCTTCCTGGGCTTGTGCCTATGTCTTTCACACAATATTTTGCAGCAGAAGCACAGCTCCTGACCTGCCGTGCTCCACAAAGACTCATCTAGACATGCACGTGTGCATTTGCTTCTGTCCTCAACCTCTTGAGGATGTGACATTTTGTATTCAGAGCCTGGTGTCTTCGCCTCATGTTCAGCAGCAGCAAGTCCTTGAATCTTGGATGCCGAGGAGCGTTCCCCGTTCCCAGCATGGGTGCCCAAGGGCCAGAAACTGCCCCCAAGTCTGGGGCTGTAGCGGAGGGTGTGAAACTGTGGCCTCATCTATGTCCTTCACTTCCAACTCCCTTCAGTCACAGCCAACCTGGCCACCAAACAAGAAAACATTGTGCACTTTGGGGGAGTGAAAAAAGGATCACAGGGAAATATACTTAATCACCTTTATCTCTTTGGAAAATACAATTCTACATTTCCAACCATATGAAATGTGTGCAAAAATTGAACAAGATTTTATGACTATAGTGTTTTTTGTAACAATTGCGCCTTTAATGAACTTGCAATGTGATTTACACATAATTGCTATGTTTTGAAATAAGATGTTAGCTTGCTGCCCCACTGCTATTCTATTCTTTCATTTTTCTTTATTTTTTTTATTTTAATTTTATTCTTACATGCAAAAAAGGAAAAGAAAATGCAAAAACAAATGTCAGTCTCATTATAATTGCCTTACCTGTAATATTCGTATAGGAGGAACAGTTAAGATATCAGCAATGAAAAGAGATCACATCAATATAAATGAAAATAAAGCATATAAATGAGAATATGCAGCATGCAGAAAGATTTTGCAAAAAGGAAAGATCTACCATACGTAGAAAAAAAAGTTTGGAATAGATATAAAGCAAGATTGTCTCCTAAAATTCCTCTATGGTTGTTACCTCAAGAAGCTTTTTATAGAAGAGAAATGACAGTTAAACAAACATGGTTGACATATGCTGATTTATTGACTTTTCTTGAAAGAGAACTTAAATTAAAAACAAGGTAAGAGCTGGAAATGGAAAGTTATACCTATCAATGGTTATTTATGCTCAGTTGCTAGAAAAATTTAAACTGGACAAGAAGATTTATGACTTTACACATGAGAAAACAGATTTTGAGTTGGTCTTATGTCAATGGTGAACATATTATTGCTGTATAGCCTGTTATTGAAAATGAATATGGAAGATGAGTATGTTAAAGACTGTATGATTAATTGGACAAAAACTTTGGATATAACATAATGCTTGAACAATGGAATAAAATGTGGAGCAAAGGACTGAAGTTTACACTTAATTACAATCTGAAAGAGAACTTTTATAAAATGATGTATCATTGGTACTCAACACTGGATAAATTGTCTAAGACATATAAGGGTGTGTCAAATGTACACTGGAAACGTAACCAATGTGAAGGCACTTTTTATCATCTTTGGTGGGCTTGTAAGAAGGCTAAGAAATACTGGGATTTGATATGTACTTTAATTCAGAGAATTTTAAGAATGGATGTACAACTGAAAACCAGAGGTTTTTCATTTAGGTATGGTGGATAAACAGATTGAAAGAAAACATGTGACTTTTTTGCTTAATATGATAACAGCAGCGAGATTCTTATTTGCGCAGAAACAGCAGGACCCATAAATACCTACAACTGAAGAATGGATGAAGTTGATCGAGTGGGGGAGATGGCAAAATTGACCATTTTGATTAAACAAAAGACTTTATCTAGTTTTGTTTCTACTTGGAAACCACTTTTGGACTTTTTGCTTGAAATTGAAAGAAATGGAACTTTAATGTTGGGATTTGATGATTAATACTGTTTATGATTATAGAAATACTGTATATTAATTTAAACTTTAGAGTAAGAGGTGAATGTATTATATATTTGTACCTGTACCAAAGAAAGTCAGAAGTTATCTTTCTTCATCCTTTTTCTGATCTTTCCTTTTTTCAATCTTTTTTTTCTGTTTTCTTATATTTTATCTTTTGCTGAAATTTAATAAAGTTCTTAGAAAAGAAAAAAAACTGTTGCATCTTTGCATCAGATGAGAATGGGTTGTAAGAGGAGTTGTGCAGAAGAGCCTAATTTGGTGACTCAAAAAGGTATAAATTTCTCTACAGTTGGCTGGAAATCTAGTTCTAAAAGGAAGTCTCCTGAGTGCAAGAGAAGTATATTTCCAATCCTCTTTCAAAACAGAGGCTTTTCAAGTTCTCCACCATATTTGTAGGTAGAGAAATAGGATGAGAACGTTCTCCAAATCTGTCAGGCCATTAACAAAAGTCTCCCACCAGTTCTCAAAGGCAGGATAGGAGGAGCACTTTCCCACCAAGAAGGCTCCTCATGAGGTTTTCCCTTGGGATTTAATGGACATGGGGGGGAGACAGGGAGGCTGCTTCAGAAGAGAAAAGGGACAGAACAGACAAAGTTGTTCAGTTGTAAAGGGAGAATGCACATGGTTTCTTGCCTGCCTACCTTTGGGTTCAAGGGAGGTGGCTCAGCCAGCAAGTCTCACCAGGGAAGTGAATACCCCCTCCAAGCCCAGTGCATGATGGTTGCCTATAGCAATGTTTCTCAACCTTGGCAACTTTACAATGGGTAGACTTCAACTGCCAGAATTTCCCAGCCAGCATGGGTAATTCTGGGAGTTGAAGTCTACCCATCTTAAAGTTGCCAAGGTTGAGAAACATTGCTATAGGCAACCATCATGCACTGGGCTTGGAGGGGGTATTCACTTCCCTGGTGAGACTTGCTGGCTGAGCCACCTCCCTTGAACCCAAAGGTAGGCAGGCAAGAAACCATGTGCATTCTCCCTTTACAACTGAACAACTTTG